GTCCTGGGGATGCCATTTAACATGGTACATTCATCCATCCATTGTTTAGACCCATTCTTTCCTGTTAAGTCTCTACTCACAATTTCCAGTGTCTTTACTACACACTGTCATTGACAACACAACTAGAACTGCCTCTACACACTTTATATTGTGAAATCTCTATTTGTTGCAGGTAGTGCCGGTACTCTCTGCTGGAACATACAAGTGGCATGACATAAACAAAACCACCCAACAAAAAAAGCAGACACAGTGAAAGAAAACAAAAAGAAGACAGATAAAATGAATGTGGAACAAATACAGTTTAGAGAGCTTTCTGGACTGACCATCAGCTGAAATGTTGAATAAAGAAACAACATCCCATTTCATGTCGATTATTTTGAAGATAATACTTTTTTTTCTTTTGTACATTTTATTAAATAAATGTGCTTACATTAAAAAGAAAGCAAAAACCAGGCTGTACACTCAGAGAACTAACTGTGTAGCTCTGTGCAGTAGATATCAGCAAATACATTTCAGCTGCTGAATTTTTACCATGTGTTTGTGACACATTAAGATCACATGTATCCATAACTGCTGCAGCTCCACTGACTTATTCAGGCAGAAGGAGACGATCATGTGCCTGTGCTGGCAGCCAGCAAGATCCTATTAACAGAAACAACCCACCAGGCTCACAGCTTGGGGAGGGCTTCTGTTCACAGGGGTTTTGTGAAACAGGGATCTTTTACTGAGCAGTAATATATTGATATACTGAAGGGGGGCAAGCACAAGCACAGCTCTTAGTAGGATAATGGACACTGCAACTCAGTCTTTGGGAGAGCCAGTAATGCCTGCAGAGTGGACAGGAGCCAAAGCTTGGTCAACTGGTGGAAAAGACACAAGAACACAAAGAAGGCTGACATTGTGGCCAGCTTTTTATGCAATAGGCATTATGAAACCAAGCACCTGAGCAGCTGGCAAGAGTCTCCTTTGGACAAAGCACAAAGGCCAGGCCACATTAGCCTGTTTGCAGCTATTGTAAATCCGGTAGCTACCTTTTCCTTAGAAGCAAGTCTCTTAACCTATCTTTCTGTATTTAGAGAAACCCCAAGCAGCCTGTATTCTGTGAAATTCTTGAACAGATTTGTGAAGGAGAAGATGTGGAGTCCCTCTCATCTGAAAAGGACACACAGAGAAAGGTAAGCAAAGGCTGTACATAGTTTACACTGCTATTACACTCTCCCTTTGTCCAAACTCTAAGGTGTTTTATGTAGAGGCATGCTCGCATTAGCACCTTATTCTTGTAGACCAAGGTCTGAGCCCATTTCTAGCTTGGATCACTGAAAAAGGTGCTGCTTTCTGCAGCAGCCCCCTCAATATTTGTCTCTTGTCTCTATCATTAGCTTTATCTTAATGGGAGTAGACCTGCTGATTGTTTTTCAGTAGGACATAAGTACAGCTGTACTGACCTTAACTTTATTAGATGAGCGTGTGAAACATGTGAAGATACATTATTCACAGTGGAGTTGCTTTATCCTAGACTACTGATTCATAATAAAGTTCAAGAAATATATTGTTTGCCCCTCTCTTTGGCACATGAAATACACACAGTGCTACCCTTCAGTTTTCATGTCCTCTACATGAGAGGCCTGCAAGGACTACCCTAATGCTACGCTATCATTTCAGCTCTGTTGTTTCTTTCTTCAGTGTAACTGAATAAAATAATGAGTCCTTGCCTTAACTAGCCCATGCCCTCTTTACAAGAAACCAGTCAAAACCACATTGAAACCTGACAAAATCCCATTGAAGCCAGGCAAAAGCCCACAAAGCCTGTGGACACCAGGCAAGGCAGGTACCTGATGATAACCTGGCTGGGCAGTGTCCAACAGGGACATGGATGTCATCCTGACAGTGACATTCTGAAACCAGGGAGGCTGCCCCGAGGGGCCAAGGGGCTCGAGACAGAGGAGTCACCACCTTTTCGGGCAGAGGTGATTCGGGAGGCTTTGTGAGGGAAGGCCAAAAGCATCCTGGCTGATCAGAATTTGTTCATGCCTTTAGGACACAGGGCGCTCAACACGCGCCATGGGTGTCCTGCGCCACTTGTGTGTCACTTGTGTCCTGTGCAGGTGTGTGTCACCTGAGCTTTCCAGCAGAGCCCCTTGCCCGCCGTGCTCGGCCAAGCAGGGCTGCAGCGCAGCAGCCGCACCGGTGGCTCCGGGTGGCAGACAGGGAGGTTTGCCAAGGCTGGGGCACAGCACCCGCCCTGCATCTCACACACGTTCGTTCCAGAGCGCTTCGTATTGGGAATAGTGTGGCCATGGGACCAGGGCAGCGATTGTCCCCCTGCACTGGTGAGGCCACAGCTAGAGTGCCATGTCCGGTTTGGACCCCTCACTACAGGAAGGACACTGAGGTGCTGGAGTGAGTCCAGAGAAGGGCAATAGAGAAGGGTCTGGAGCACAAGTCCTGTGAGGAGCAGCTGAGACAGCTGGGGGAAAGGAGGTCAAGGGAGACTTTATCTACAAGTGCCTGAAAGGAGGCTGTAGCCAGGTGGGGGTTGGCGCCTCCTCCCAGCCAACAAGCGGGAAAGAGGAAATGGGCTGAAGCTGCGCCAGAGGAGGTTTAGTTTGGGTATTAGGAAAAATGTCTTCACTGCAGAAATTGTCATGCATTAAGAACAGGCTTCCCAAGGAGTGGTGCAATCAACATCCCTGAAAGCGTTCAAAAGGCAGGTGGAACTCGGGGACATGGTCCAGTGATAAGCAAGGCGGTGTTGCTGGTTGACGCCTGGACTCGATCACCTTAAAGGCGGGTCATTTCTAACCTTAACGATCCTATAGTTTTATAGAACACACTGTGCCGGCTGTTAGGCGGCGTTAGAGGTCTCAGGGGCCCCTGCGGGGCGGCGGGCTCAGGAAAAGGCAAGCCCCGCAGGCGCAGGAGGCGGCAGCGCCGCCGCACCGCAGCCGGCCGCCCCGGCCCGGCCCCCCCGCGCGCCGCCGCCCTGTTGTCAGGCAGTTTGGCGCCCGCGCGCGCCCCGGGGGCGTGGCCCGGAGCGCTGGCCAATGGCGAGGCGCGGCGGGTGAAGCTGCGGGACGGACGCCCCCGCTGGCTCCCGCCCCGCCCCCGCCGCGGCCTCCGAGCGCCTCGGCTCCGGATTGGACGGGACGGGTTTATTTTTAAAAGGAATCTGCTTTTTCTATTGGCCGAGAGAGACGCCTGTCAGCGTGACGTTACTTTGTTGCTAGGCTGGGAAGGTGGGAATCGGCGTGTACCCGCCCCGTGCGCTGATTGGCCAATGGGAAGCCGAGAGCCCGCCGCCACCCGCGTCCCACCCTGTCGCAGCCGCGTAACGGGTGACTGACATTGGCCTGGCGGCCAATGAGAGGCCGAGGTACGCACAGCGCCCAATAGAAAGGGGCGCTCCGAGGAGAAGGGCGGTTCCGGGGCGAGGTGATTGGCAGGTGGGCGGAGGTAGAGGAGGGCTCGCCGGAGCTGCCATGTCCGCCATCTTGGAGCGTCGGTGATGGTGGCGAGCGGAGGTTTTCCCGCCTGAGCGGAGGCACCGGGGCCTGTGGCGGGGGACGCGCTGCCGAGGTACGGCCGGGCCGGCGCCGTGACTCCGCCCCGCCGCTTCCAGGGGAGCAGCGCTCCGGCGGCGGCTCCTCCGCGGCGGCGCGGGCCTGGCGCCCGCTGACGGCCGTGCGGGGCTCCGGGCGCTGCTCGGGCGGCACCGGGCCGGGCCGCCGGGGCCGGGCGTGCGCGGCCTCCCGCAGCCGCCGCGCGGGCCCGGAGCGCGGCGCGGAGGCCGGGCCGCAGGCGGAGCGCTCCGTGCCGGCTGCCCCGGGCTGCCGCGCTCCTGGCGCTCCTCTGGTGGGACGGATGGGCGGCTCTGGGGCTTTAACGAGGCGGCTTCTTGGAACTGTAGTGCTTTAAGAGCGTAGTAGTGTTTGGGTAAGCTTTAACCGCTGTTAAATGCGTTTGGCAAAATCTCACTTAGAACCTGCCAGTTTTTCTGGTTTTGTTTTTTGTTGGTTGCTACGAACTTGCCAAAGTGTAAGAGGGAATTAGTGTTTTCTATTTAGTGTCATACGAGACTATCTTGTATGACATAAGTGCAATTGAGGCTAAAGATCGTTTCTGTCAGCACAAATGTTGTTTTAAGTCAGTGGGGTACTTTGAATGGGTGTGTTGCTATTTTAAAAAAGTGTTCTAAGTGGAGAAAACTTAGGAGTAGGTGGATAGCTTTTGAAAGGAATCCTTTGAGATGTTGACAACTTAAAAATGAAAGATTATGTTACTTACTGGTGGTGGTATTAGGTTTTGAATGTCCTTCAGTGCAGTGAGTAAGTGTACTCTTAACAGTGCAGTATGTTTTTTGGATATGCACAAATACCTGTGTGGGTTTTTGTTTTTTTTTCTGGGATGCTGAAAGATTGGAAGTCTCTGTTTCAGTGTTCCAGAAAGATTGCTGAAGTTATTTGAAATGAATGGTCTATTTCCAGTGCAACAAACATTTCAAATAAGACTCTGATTATTTATCTCCGTGTTATTTATGTTTTCACTAGCAAGACATGGAGTAACTGAAGCTTGCAAGAGTTTCATCATTATACAAGTAGAAAATAACACTGCAAAATTACCTTTCAATATGTAAATTGTTAATGAGATGCCATGCAAAAGTGATATCCAGTTTACATGTTTTTCGTGATAGTTTATATTTTTAAGTACTTGTTTAGGTTCACTTAAATTACTTGTTTTGTCCATCTATGATCTTATTTGAACATAAGGGATTCTTCTTAAGACCAAGGAAAACATTGAATTGAAAGGTGTAGTTTAGAAATTCCAGAAAAGCAACCTGTTTAACAGGAATGCCTTTAACTAGGGTAGTGCATTACAGCTTCTTTACAAGCCAGCTAGATTTGTATGTAAACTGCTGTAAGCATCACAGCTTTGGATTTCTTAAAAATACGATTCAAGTAGCTGTTATTCCCTTATGGAATTAAAGACACTGAGTAGTTTATGTCTCTTCACAATACTGCCTGCAAACTGCTCAGTTCTGCTGAGTTGCTGAAGTGAACAAAAGTGACTTTTTCCTTTGGAATGTTTCTGTCTTACACTTAAAGGAGGTGATGCTATAGCCTGTGTACCACTCAGATAATCAGATTGTGTTCCAAGAGTGAAATTCAAGTGAATTAGTAGAGGGAGCCTGAGTTTAGCAGTATGGGAACAGAAATTTGTGTATGTAGCTTTAGTATTTACAGATGTTTAGAGAGTGAACTCTGTTGTTATGGTTCAAAATCTTTGCTTATTTACCCAGCTTGAGCTTGACATGCATGTACTATGAAATGCTAAAGAGCTGGCTCAAAACCAACCAGTCTGAAGGGAGAAATGTATTGAA